TTTATTGCATATTTTGTTGGGAAAATTTCATCTTTTGTTTTGAAAAGCTTTCAAATTGATAATTGAACTTGTTATTCTCAACTTTTCTTTCATGATCATTGTTATTTGTATTTCCATTGAACAATCTATTGTTAATTTAAACAGTGAACGTTATTGTTAATTGTAGGCAAGATTTACCATTAAGTGTAACAAATTGACTTTGCTTTTTCATGATAATGCCAACCATTAATATAAAGATGATTTTGTTTTATGAGCAAAGTTTTGTTCAACTTTTCTCATTTGATTCATCAATTTTCACTCCTCATTAATATCAAAGACCTTGATAAGCGTCAATTTTCAATTTAATTGTTTCATTTCCAATCAATTGCTGAATGTTGATCAAGAAAATGTAACAAAATTTAATTACAAAATAACCAAATGAAAGACATTAAAAAGTGAAATAAAGTTTTACAAAGATTCAATCAGAGAAAAGGTTAAAATTGGGAAAAATTCAATCGTTCAAGTTGCTCATGAAATGACAAGTTTAATATCAACTTGCAAAGTCAAAGTCAAATGAAGCAAAAAAGTCAGAGATGAGTTCAAGACTATCATTGAAAAGCAGCAAAAAACAAAAGCGTTTTAAAAGTACAAATAAAAAGTTTTGGTGGAAAAAAAGAATTGAATCAATTTGAGGAAAAATTTCACTTTTTGTCCATTTTTTTCATGGAAAAAGAAACAATCGAAATGAGAAGAAAAAAAAGAATCACAGAAAAGTGCTAAACTAATAAGACTCATGTATTGTTCTGTGGTCTATTAGTCAATGTTATCCTCCTGAGAATACATGATATTGTTGTTTCAATGTGAGTAAATATTGTGAATGTTCATGAAAGTGGCAGCAAACAAGTATCTAAATCAATGTATATCAATGTCATTGCGTTTATGCTTCATCGAAGGTTCCAAAATTGAGGTCAAAATTTTTCTCTTTTTTCTCCTTTTCTTTTCTCTTCCATCAAAATGTTCATTGGAAAACTCATCATCTTGAGTTGAATCTTGAAAATTTTTACTTTTACTTTTTTCTTCCTTTTTCCTTTCGCTTTCACAAAACTGATCACCAAAGCGGAAACATCGATGCTTCTGATAACTTATCCTGAATCTGTCCTTTGCCACTCCCTGCAAACTCCCAGCACTTTCTCATCATCATCAAGATGATCCAAAAGTCCAAGACAGAGTTTGAGGAGCAAAAAGGCTTCTCTTCTCTACTTACTCAGTGATGGATCAGAATAGTTTTTGTTCAACATCGATTTTCGATAATCAATATTTACCAGAGACTGATGAAGAGATGGAATCAGAAGAAAAGATGATGATGAAACAACTCATCTTCTAATTGATTATCATGCAAAAATATATTGCATCGGCAGATTTTCTTCTCACTCATGTTCTCACTGAGATTCTCAGGGATGAGCCGAACAAGGCGAAGATAAATAATAAAGATGCTGAGAAATGCTGAATGAGGAGGAAAAGTTGAGAGAAGAAGAAGAGAGAGCAAGAGAACGACTTGAAAATATTGTCGATCTCATCTGAATTTGTACTTTTTTTCCTTCTTCTTCTTCTCTTTTCTGTTCCAATTGTGAGTAAAAATTTTCTCTAATCTATTAGGATGTTTCCATGATAATCTAATCATTTTTTCATCGTTTGATCGTTTAATAACTCATTCCAATTTAACCATCAAATCAACATTTTTCCTCTTTTTTTGGAAAACAAAAGTTGAACTCTTTGACCAAAGACAAGTTTCCCTTTTCAACTCTCAGTTAATCATTGAACCATCAAAATCTTAATCAATTGCATTTAATCACTTTCAATTTGTCAACAATTATTCTTGATTAACTTTCATTTTTCCTTTTCGTTCAACTCAACGTTAAACCTTTTTTCATCGTTAATCTAATAATGTCTTCAAATGATACAAGATGAGAGAGAAAAAAGTCTTTTGAAAAACTTGAGATTCTTGAATTTTCCATTTTTTTCTGTTCTTCTTCTTTTCTCTTTGCTCATGAAATGAAATTATTTATTCTTTTATTCAGTTGTTCAATTCACAGGAAACAATCAATGTTTAACATGATAAAGATGATGCTTATTGCACTGAAAATCTTGTTACTCTGAAGAGGAAAAGTAAAAATGTATTCCAATTGGAATGAGAAATTAATCTGTTTGTTATATCTCAAATGATTCCATGTTAACATGAGAATAACTTGAATAAAGTAACTTTTCAGATTACTTCAAGTTGCAACTTTTTCTTCATCATCTTCATCTTATTTCATCTTTTTCCTATTATTGTTGTTAACCTGAGATTTCATTTGTCCATTAGTATTGGCTAAAAGTACAGTTGAAATTGATAGCAAAATGTAATCAACTTTTGATATTTTTTTGTCCCTCAAATTTTTCTTCACATGAAAACATTGAATGGAAGAAGAGAAGAGAAGAAGAAGAAAAAAGTGAATCATTTTTTTTGTTTTCTCCCTCATTTCTATGACCATGATGATGATGATGAACAATCCATATCTTGTTAAATGGATGGAGACTAACATGATTGGTATTTGACATTTTCAGACTCGAGTCCAACTAATTTTACCTTACAAATCGTCCGAATCAAGTTACGACAAACAGTTAAATGCAATAGTTTCACTGTAAAATGATTCAATTGCTAAACTGATTATTGTTAGAACATTAAAAGACAATCAATTCACTTTTACCGACCTTTTCTTTTCCCTCGAGTTTATCATATTTTTTTGCTCACCAAATCAATCAATTGATTCTAATTGTTGACCGTTTAAGGCAATTAAGCCAGGTAAAAATATAAAACAAATGATTATTAGAACTGCAAAAATCGAAAAATTTCTTCATCGTTGATGATCAATTTTTAATCGACTTCAATAGATTAAACGAATCAGGTTGATAACATTAAAACAATTCGTTTTTGTAAGTCTAAATAACTTTCGCAATCAGTTCGAAAGAAGTCTAAAGATGAAACTATTGAACAATCGTGCCGAAACCGAAATTGTTGCTTAACAACCAAAAAGTTTACCAGAATAAACGAGTTTAATTTAAATATTGAAATGACGAGATAAACCTAATTTTTTTATCAAAGACAATGACTAAAGATACTAATATTGATTTTGATTAAAGCAATGCAAAGACACAACAATGAGGATAATGTGAGATGTGATTTTTCCCAATTAAAATAATCCCCAGAAGATGGGTTAAACTCGATCTAATCGATCAAATGTTCGATTTAATTTATTCTCTCGGAAATCAGACTCGAATCTAAACATATCATTTTTTAAGCAATCATAGCGATTGATCAACTCAAAGCACAATCGATTAAAAATAAAGATAATGGTTGAATCTTTTCAAAGCAAACCTCAAAGTTAGATCTCAAAAAGTTCAGTTTTCGCTAGATTCGTTTCTCTCAACCCGACATTCTTTCACCTAAAACTTCTGTATTTTCAATTCTTTCAATTTATTTTTCAAATTGCTCGAAATATTCACCGCAATAATAGCCAATGATTGGTCAGTTTAACAAGTTCACCTTTTCCTACCTGAAACAGCCATTAATGGTTTGATTATTGACACAGAGAAAGTTGAATTTGGATGAAAAAACTTTTACTTACAACTCTCTTCTTTTCAACACTTCATTACAATGCGATTGATCAACTAATTTACTCACTAATTGGAACATGAAAGTGATTAGAATGATTATTAGAGTAAAATATTCTCATTGATATTCAGCAATGTTTATGTAAGAAAATGAAACTTTTTTCTTCTCTTTCCATGTTCGTCAGACTCTTTCCCTTTATTCACACCTGAAATGCTTCACTGAATCAAATTGGTTACATGATATGTTCATTAGCAATGGCAACCAATTATCATCATTTCTAATAGAATTAGTTGATTACTTTTTCTGGTGGCCAAAAACAATTTAGAAATGAATAAAAGTTGATCAAAATTTCGACTCATTTGCTGAACAATCGCAACATTTTAATTCCTTTTCTTCACTTTGGGACTTTTAAAGGTTGACTTGTAATTAAAGTTAATAATTAGACGTTCAAGTTTAAAGTAAAACTTTAATCTGAAAAAAAACCTTAAAGTCTCAAATGTTGTTGTTCACTTGATCTGTAAACTGTTCAACTTTGGTTTGTTTGTTTCTCTTTTCCTCATTCAAGGAATCATTATTTCCTTCATCTGTTTCCATGTTCATCTTTCTTCTTCTTCTCATGTTCACCAAAATGAACAATTTGCATTGAACCAGAATCAAAATGATTGCAAGTTCTAGTCAGAGAAACATCATTGATCAGATTTAATGAGACTGTATCGTCAGCATAAAGCATGAGAAACATTCAGTTAATACAACTAATCTCCTTAAAAGTTCACTATTCTTCATCATCCTCATCATGATCATGGAGATGATCATCATCTGATTATGTATAGAATATACTTTTCTCTTTATCTTCTTCATATTCGAACCTTTTTATCATTACTATTTCATTTTCACCCAAACTCGCCTCTGTTTCATCTCTATCATCATCAACATCATCAACATTCGTCTCTTTTTTTTCACTCATTTTTTTCTTCGTTCATCTTTCCATTCAGAATCAACCAAGGAATATAAATTAAGGTCAGGAACAGGAAGAAAAAACAAATGTAATAAATTGAGAAGCTTTCAAAATTTTATTCATTTTTTTTCTCTCTCCGAGTTTTCCTTTTCCATTTTCATGATAAATATTTATCATTTCAAAAACATTGACAAACTTTGTTCAATTTTGTTACCGTTCAACATTTAAAGTTGAAAGAGTTTTTTGAATGCAAAAGTTTGCTTTCATTTATGAGAGAAAAAATCGAGAAAAGTTTTTTTCCTCGAGAAACGTTTTTAGGACAAATGGCTTTTCTCACCGTAAATATTGATCATGATAAGTGAATGGTTCAAAGGCCGGTGGAATTGGGTGAAAGAGGAAAAAAAATTTCGTTACCTTTTTAACCATTCGATCGACTATTCCTTCCAAGGATGTTTCTTGGATGTCTAGGAGTAGAACGGCTTGCTGAAGAAACTGATCAACATCCATTGAGGCTCGAACCTCGGCACCAAAATCCTTCATGGGAAGTCTCTGTATATTGGTATTGAGAAGTGTTATTTGGGGAACAATTCGCGAATCTCGACGACTGCATTCGCCGTGAAGTGATGAACCATCTGGACTGGTTAGGCTAATTAAAACTTGACTTGCTCGACGAATAGGACCTGGCATTAGTTCACGAGATTTTCGTCGACCAGCTATTGTTGATCCTCGCCTTCTAACATTGTTTGGATTGGGTGCATATTGGACGCTCTTTCTCGGTGATCGTCCAATGCCACCGGATGCACTTAGAGTTGAGCTGCCTGTAGGTGAACCGGCAAGGTTCAAGGATGTTACAGAGTCAAGGCCTGTAACAGCACCAGCCGATGAGGTGACAATGGTACCTCTTGCAACTCCACTGTTGACCTTGCCACCTGGGCCACCACCATCACTACTGGAAAGACCCACACCAGGGCCAGTCACACTGGTTGTCGATCCACCCAGATTGACTCCTGCACTGGCACTGAGTCGACCCGAAGGAATGGCATTGAGTCCACTTCCATTGGAACTTGACCGGTAAGTTAAGGTTAAATTTCCAGTTGACCGGTGAACACCATCCGGGTCCGGTGAATGTGCCGGAGTGGGTGGAGCAGAGGTTATAGATATGACCGTGCCATGATCACGGCGACAGCCAATAGTAACAGGTTTACCTGAACCTGGGAGCGGCTCAGAGCCTCCAATAGGACTTGATTGGGATGAACTTTCTGATGGGCTGATTGGGTCACCCATGGGTATGGAGCTGGATGAACCTCGACCCATAGCACTTGCACTTTCAGCCATTTCAGCGCACTCTTGTCCAATTTTCTCGTTTTTATTATCAATATTATTATTATTACTATTACAATAGTTGTAGTGATAAAAGTGAAAAGAAAGATGAAAAAAAAGTAAAACCAAATGGAAAAGAAGAAGAACAAGAAAATGGAATAATTTTGTTGATGATTTGGTGTAGAGAGAGGCTGGTGGCAATGATGATGATACTGATGCTAATGATGACGATGAGTGTGAAGAGGAGGAGGAAAAGGTGGTGGTATCGGTAAAGGTGGGCAGAGATAAATCACTGTTGAAGGATGTTCGCCTGATTATGATGTACTTCGTCTGTAGACTGTTTCCAGTGTAACTCCAGAGAGGGTTGATGAAGAGGATGCTGATGATGTTGGTATTGTCGGTAACGTCAAGAGTAACGAAGAGGGTCAACTTGGCAGGATAGTTGATAATGAATGAAACTTGTAACTGAACCTTGTAAATGAACAACATACTATGGTGAGATGGCGACTCACTTATTGTCCCTTCATGAACACTGGTCACTTAACCCTTGACTTTCAAAATTAATTTTAAAAGTAAAAGATTGTCGAGAAAATTTGATTGAAAAAAATGTTATTCTTTTCACTTTAATTTACATTTTTTTGAGCTTGTTTCATTTTCGTCTCATTTCTCAGTTATTACATTTTGTCTGTATTGCAATTTAAATTCATCTTGTTTACCTGTTTAAAGGATCACAAAATATTCCAATCATAGTGAATAGAATAATTTATTTGCTCGAAAATTCATGATAAAGTTGAATTGAAATGAAGAGGAAAAGGTTTCAAGATTAAACCTGAGCGTCAACTATTTATGACTAACTTTGATTACATAGACAATGGCAGTTGATTGAAAGATGCTCTTTTAAACTAACATTATAATCATTATTTGATTGTTTCCTAGCATTTAGAGTAAAGAAAAAAACAATTTTAATTGTTGAACAATTTTTTTAACCACCAATTGATAATCACAACTTTACAAAAAATTGTTGATGAAAAGGTTTGATTTGCGATTCTATTTCTACTTCAATTGCAATTTAACACAAATGATAATGATGTTAATAGTGATCAAACTGCAAACTCATTTTCAATTTACTTTACATTCCTTGAACTCGCCATTTTCAAACTTTTATTGTTTTACTTTTTTTCCAGTTTATTGTTTCAATTCACTCAAGTTGGAAATATTTTTCTCTCTCATTTTGTTCCTTCTTCTTGTTATCAATTTTTAGTACATTTTATGTTCAATTATTCGCTTCTTTTTGCCCTTTTTGCCCCCAATTTTGAAGGTAAATTTGCTAAACAGTACAAGGAGAGAGAGAAAGTTGATTGAAAATCGGTTCGCTGGTGAGGCTGATGTTGATGTTGGTTTGATGCAGAGCAAGGTTGACTATTCCGTTTGGCTTTAGTCGGTCAACTCGCACTTTTCACATTTGACTTTTCACAAAATTTCAAATTCCATTTGCGTTCCGTTTGACACTTTTCACAAGGTTGGACTTGTAACACTTTTTGATGAAAATTTGTAAAGTTTTTTTTCTCTTTTCAATTTGTTGCAATGTTTTTTGATGAAGTGGACAGAAAAATAGATTGATTTAAACTTTGTTTTTGTTAATAAAAAATCAAGTTTCGCTTTTCTTCATCACTCAATTTTTCATGGATTGGTGCTGTTGTGTTCAACTTTTTGTTTCCTTCTTTCAATAATCAATGCATTTGTTTGAAAAGTTATTAGCAAAATAATTTAATATTTTTCTCTTCTTCTTCTGACAAACAATAACAAGAGAAGAAGAGAAGGAACGAAAAACAGGGGAAAATAATGAAAATAACTAGTCAATGGAAAGGCAAAGTTAACTTGTAATGCATCAATGAGAAAAGGCAAAATAAGATGATGATAATGATGATGATGATGGTGATGAGGAGAAGTGAATGAGAGCAGAATCTTTTCAAAGCATCTTTTCACTGTGTTTGATCCTTGATCAAGCACTCAGCACTAATACACAAAGATTTGTGTCTCGTTTGTGTGTGTTGTATGTTAGTTTGTGCCTTTTGTATGCACATGAGTTCTGAATGTGAGTAGAAGAGGAAAAAAAGATGAGGATAAAAAGAGAGGAAAAAATGTTTTCTTCTAACCAACGCAATCGCCTTGCAACTTTCTTCATCAAACAGTTTTCCATGAATAAAAGTATATCTTAAAAATATAGGGAATTGGGCTTCTCCATCTTCATCCAGATATGGAACACTTTTTGTTCCCTTCATCTTCATCATCATCTTATTTACTACTTTATCCACCCTCTACTTTTATCAATGGAAGAGAGGAAAAAGAAATAAAATGAAGAGAAGAAACTGAGAGAAGAGAAAGCGCAAAGAGACTAACATTGATGGATAGATGAAGAATAGATTGGGATGCTTAAATGATAATGATGAAGATGAAGATGAAGATGGAAAAGAAGATGACAGAGATTTTTCGTTACGATTTTCTTCTTCTTCTTCTTGCTAAACCAATCATCTATTTCTCATTCCTATGTGCGACATTCTCATCTCTTTCTTTCTTCTTCTTCTTTTTTCTCTTCTTCTTCCTCTTCTTCTTCTATCGACCATTTTATTGCACAGTCAACCCTTCACATTCACTTCTTTTATCTTTTATATCGTCATCTTCATTCATTTATATCTTCATTCCCATTCTCGGTACCTTTTCATTGACAAAAAATTCATCTTCTTGTGACAGTCGATCCATTAGTTGATATTTTTCCCTCTCTTTACTTTTCTCTTGTAATCACTTTTTTTTCTTCTTCCATTCATTTTATCAGATAATCATTTTGTATACAAAAAGTTTAAACTTTTTCCTTTGATAAATGCCCAGAAATTGAATTCATTTTTTCACCTTTTCTCTCCATTTATTTCTTTCTGTTACAGTTTACTATTGCAACATTTTGCAACAAACATTGTTCAGAAAATTATCGACTTTTGAGATTCTGATTAGTTGAAGAATCGTCATTTTCCACCTTTTCCCATGTTTCGTCTTTTTGAATCTTTGAGTCCTAGACTCTCTCTAAGTCCGTCTTTAGTTGTTGATTTGAATTGATTAGTCCTTTGCTGCGGTGGCATCAAGGCGTCTTTATTGATGTAAGTGGATATTTTTAGCCTAACCAGGATCCATTTTGATTTACTTTAATTTTTTGTTTTTTTAACTTCATTGGACAGAATGCAGTTCATCAGATTCATAAATATTTAGTAGTTTTACTCACCTCATGCTTGGCATACATTAAAGTCACTTCGTCACCATCATCTGTTAAAGGTAAAGGGAAAAAAGTAAAGACTTTGTTATTGAGAGCAAATTATTCATTCAATTGTGCTTTTTCATTGCAATTTTTTCCTAACAATTTCATTGTTCATTTTACAAGACTTGTTGTGCCATCTAGCTGTTCATGAGCTAACTTATGAATCACTCGTTTCAATGTGCATGAGTCAATCATCTTTTGATTACTTTTTCGTAATTTCAGTTCACCCAACTTTATGGTAAACTTGATTCGATTCTACCGCAGATAATCATATTTTACAGAAAATTTTTCATTTTTCAAGTTTGGCTTCAAAACTTATTTGCAAATGCTTCAGTTTTACGCATGGAATAAAATCTGATGAACTTTTACTCTTAGCTGCTTATGATTTGATAACTGTCCAAACATTCAAATATAGCAATTTTAGGAACATAGAAGAAGGGCGAATCGTAAGAAATTTTTCAATTTGGAATTAAAAACCTATGTTATGCCGCTTCAATCGACAGTTGTAAATGAAAATATGACTCAGAATGTTAAAATTTCTGGCTAACAAGATGTATAATTGTAACCAAAAACGAAGAATAACTCAATTACTGTATATGAAATGCTGATCAAAGATAGTGACACTGACTGGACTGCAGTAAAAGTGTTTTGTACGAAATTCATTTTATCTTTCGTTGTATTTCATTAAAGTTCTGTTCATTTTTCAAGGAAATTTTTGAGATCACGAATTTTTCTGGATAAACGAAGTTTTATCTATTACAAAAATGTTCATTATTTATTTACATCAGTGAGGCTGCATTTGCCGTCTTGCTTTTGAGCAGCGAATGTTAGCGCGTTGAAACATGTACCTCGTATCTAGAAACTTTCGTGATCTGAGGAAATGTCTTATAGATACCAACTAACAGAAGTGATCTTGTATGACCTTGACCTCTAACAGTAGTCTTCGACAAAAAAATCCACATTTTATATCATTAGTCTTGATTTTTCTTTTGATGTACTAAAAGTTCTAGACATGAATTGTATTGAAACAAAATGAAAAGATCAACTCTACAAATAACCTCGTGCCATCTGTTTTTTCGTAATACAACTATTTGCTTTACCCGCCAAAACCTTTTTTCAGTTGAAAAACAGTTAACAGATATTAACTTGAGTTTTCTCGATATTAGTAGATTAACGTTGTTTGTTTGGATTGAAAGGAATGACAATAATATCGCAAATTATCTAAAAATATTGAATATTGAAAGACATTTATAAAATAAAGAGCAACACAGGGACAATATAATGTGTAAAACAAGCACATGAACCAGACTAACAAGGGTATCTCCCTTGTAAGTCCCTTAGATTCTCAAGAAAGTTGTTGATTGGAACTGATCAAAGGTGATAAAGTCTTACGATTGGCTATGTTGAGATGCAGAAACAGCAACTACTTTCAGTTTTACTTGACTAATAGATATCAATAGGTGCCGATTAATGTTGCAAAAATATCGATCCGATTTATACCAGAAACTGTATTAACTTGCAGGATCTTGACCTAGAAATATTAAAATGTCACTTTAAACGCGCAAGTATATTCTCTACTATGTTTCCTGCTTCCATAACTACAAGGTATTCAAACAGGTAGGTCAAACATCGCAATCCAATATCTCAAAACTACAAGTAAGATCGAGCTATTTACAAATTTGTAATGATTAGTTTCATTTTTGGACGTATTAATACAAGCTCCTATCAAAGATAAACATCTTTACTTTCCACCTACCCGTCTGAACACTTAGTATATGATGTATTCATCGTGGTTGGTAACTCGAGAGGATACTCTAGTTATTTATTATGACCTTAATCACAACACAGTTTACTTCTTTCGTCAAAGTGTACATTACTTGTAGCCTTCTCGTTCTGCACGTTTTACAATCCTGTATTAATAAATGCTATAAGAGGCGTGAATTATGATACATTTTTTGGTTTTATTCCCTCAGAGTATGTTCAATAGCTTAACATTGGCTACATTTCATCCAACACATGATAATACTCGAAATCAAGTTAAATCCCAACTAATGTTGGTTAAGTTGAACCTGTCTCATCTCAATCAGGCATAAATGAAGTGATCACTGAATTTTTTAGCTGAATGAATCAGACAGAAACTTGCATTTACCAACCAAAGATGGCGTTCACTTGCAGATAAGAGTTGGCATTTGGAACTGATATAATCTTTATACTCCAAACCATCGCGACTTCAATCTAATTACTTAACTTGATGAAGTGTGTTTTAAAAGGCTTGTTAGTAGACGCACTTAGGTTTTGACTTGGTTCCTTGCATCTTGCCCAAAAACTCAAGATGTTTCATTTTTCTTATACTTTTACTAAATCGCAAGATTTGAACCTGATTAAGCGTTTTGGTAAAAATGATTAATCAATTATTCACACATTTCTCTATTCATTCCCTTGTTCCAGTATCTTATTACTTGTTACCGTCAATCGATATGAAAATGCAACACTTTTAGTGTTGTATAATTGATAATCGTGAGAACCCTGAAAAGATTGATAACCATTAATATCGTAGGTATAATGATTGGTGAATAATGAATAATAACAGATCAACAATTAATCATCTAAAATGACCATTAATAAGTCAAAGAAAAGATAAACAAACGTTCAAACCAAATTGCGGTTAAGGCTGTGGCCACCAACATTGATCATAATATTTGACAAAAAAAATAAATAAAAATGATAAAATATTATAAGCAAGATAAAATAAGAGAAACTATTGACTTGTCTAATATCATTATCAAGGTTAATGAGCGAAACCTGGAAAAACAAATATTAAGAAAAGT